CTACGCCAAAGGGTAATCGTAATTTATCAAAATGGAGCGTGTTAACTAATAATGACAATTAACATAAACCTATTTTTAAGTTAAAGTCTTTACCGTAAGGAAATATATTTAGAAAGTTATGTATTTATTAAATTCACTTTATCACCCTGTAGAATAAAAATTGGGACGTTTAGAGAAAAATTATTTTTACCTTTTTTAATAATTAGTTAAGATCTACAAATCCTCTAGTGTACGATGTACGGTACTTCATTTTGAAACACCCCGTACATATTTTTTCTTATTTCTAAAATGAATTCATAGTATTTGTTAAATTTATAAATGTCCTATACATGGGTTAACTATTGGACAATAAAGCTGTCATTACTATTATCATTAAATATGGCAGCACGATTAAATAATAAGTCATTGTAATAAATAAATATGTAACATACAGGTAGAGAATTTTCAACAAAAAAAATACACTTTATAATGAGTTGAACAGGATATAGTAGGTACATGCACATATCAGCCAGTGACCGCTGTCGTATCGAAGCGGCCGATGTGGTCTTTCTCTGTTATGCGCATGTTCCTATTAAACTTTTTTCTGTTCATTGTAAGATATACTTTATGTGTTGAAAATTCTATATCTGTATACTTATGTACCTACATTTCAACTTCTTCGATATTTTCTTTATGCATTACGACTTCTTCAGTTTCCGGGTACATTAATTTACTAAAACACAGCGCTGCAGGGGCAGACATTATACTAGCAGTTATTAAATCTTGTGCTCTTGCTCCGTAAGAAATATAACCAGCCATGACTGATCCTAAAACATTTATTAGGGTAAATAATGCTTCTTGCCTCACACAAAACTCAATTTAAAGTTATAAATAGTAGATAAAAGGCTTAAATGTTTTACCTGCCACTGTGGCAAATCCGGATGTCATAATGGAGTGAATTTCTGAATCAGTAAGATTTTTTAAATACGGAGATAAAAGAAGAGGTGCTTCAGTCTAAAAAAATAAATGTAATAAGGGCGTTTCCTTCTATCTATACTATTTGGAGGACCTATATCATAACCTCATAGGCCACCAGATCTCACTCCATATAATTTTTATTTATAGGATAACATGAAAGGTTCAGGGTGTGTGAAAAAAAACCTAAAATACAGCTGAAATTATTAGAAGAAGACCTGAAACAATTTTCTTAAATGGTTACGTCTGGCCAATTTTTTTGTAAAGAATAATGGAGATACTATCAGGAGGCTTCTTTGAGAGAAATAAACACTGCAGGAGGCAAAAATAAGAGAAAGAAGTAAGAAATTCATATATAATTAATTTTTGAAATATTCTTACCATTCCTAAAAATATATTGGCAGCACTGTTTACACTTTCACATATAGATGTGCCCATTATCCATTGCAAGAATGCTCCAATACTTCCAACAACTTTTTGCATTATTCCATAATAGTATAAAATATTTACAAGAAAACTAATGAAGAAAACCGTTGACAAACTCTAAAAGAAAAATTGTTAAATCAAAAAAGAATACATGCAATATTAATGTTACTTCGCGAAATAAATATTAAGGTAAATTTTTCAAACTTCATGTTCTACTGAGCCTGAAGAACAGGTCAAAACTGTATCTATCATTTATTTTAAGTTATATGTATATCGACATCGGTATGAAACATAACCAAAAAATTCGTACAAACATGTAACAGAACTTCGTATCGTAACATCGTTGCGTAACAAATCTGAACGTCATTTCGTTACAACGCAAAGGTGTGTAATAACATTTCGTAGCTTAACACCATTACGCAAAGGGAAAGGTGGTACAGCTAAAGGAACCAAAAGGTAGCTTCATGAAAAGTGAGGAGGAAAGAGCTCGCCTCTTATTCGAAACTCACTTTTGGGAGCACACCTTTTCTAATACATCACGCAAGTAAGGTAAGCAGGCCGTTCATAGAAGGCAGAGCAGCAGCAGTAATCGGTTAAAGTGGGTCATGAAGACTTTTGAACGGTTTAAGTCTCCAGGTGTGAATAGAATATTTTGTAAGCTGACACAAGAGGAACTAATAACACATATATTCTGGATACCCCGGAGCAGTCTGGAACTTGGATATACACTAGAACCATCGAGAAGGGTCAGAGTCACCTTCCAAAAGTAGAGAAAAAGATACCATATATCCTAAATACTTCCGATCAATTAGTAGTACATCCTTTGAATTAGAAACAAATTATATCAGAACAGAAATCCTGAAGAGAGTACCACTCCACCACAGCAAACACGCTTACCGAGCAGGCAGATAAACAGAAAATGTCCTGAATGATGAAATTCAGGATATACTAACAAACAAAGAGTAGGTCGGGCGTACGTTTTTAGTCATGAATGAAACGTTTGACAACAAGCCGCATGAATCTCTAAAAGCACTAAAATATAGAGAAATAGATAACCCTGTTAGGATTATATCGATTACATGATATTTGCGAGAGAATACGAAAATATTCTTTATGATATAGT